TTTTTGGACACTGCTCCCTCAATTTTCTACTGATTCTTTGTATCCACCACTTAAACTGGCATCTTCTCTATTTTGGAGGGGAGAATACCTATCTCTTTGATTTCTCCATTATGCCCAGCTCTGCGTAAAGCAGAGAAACAATATGTATTTTATTAATAGCAAAATATATACTTTTTAAAAAGCCAATTTATAAATCATGAGTGATACATTTTAAGACATCTGCCCCAAAGTGTGGTAAATATTGTGTCTTAAAACAATAGTGCTAAGAGAATGGGATGAAGCTTTAGAGGTCATATAATCTGGGAGTTTTCTAATATTTCATAATAAAACTTTTCCAGATGAAATCTTATACAGTATCCCAAGTATACAAGACTGGCAAAAGCATTGCTAATACTATTTTATGTTCAAATACATTACATTAATTTATCACAAACTCAAATAAAGAGACAAGTTAGGGTTAGAGATGTTAGTTACAGTCTTATGAGCAGCTAAGCATCCATTTATTTCTGTAAAATTTTGTTTTGATTTCACTCAGGTAAGTAGCTGCAAGGAGGTAGCCGCTATTGTTTTGATAGCAGTTTTTAATGGTTCACTTCGCAGTCCCAGGATATACTTCAATTAAACTGATGAAAAAATAATTTTAAAATAAGAATTTTTTCTTTCCAAATGAGTAACAATATCTAACAACTGCTTCCAAGGCAAACAAGAAAAACTCAAAACTTGCAATGAGCTATAAAAACATCTATAACATGGTATCAGGACTTAAGTGTCACATGTTCATTTGTTACTAAACAAATGACTTACACAGGACGAGTACATCCACAAAGAAAGGGGCTTGGGTCCCACCTGTCCTTTAACTGAACACAGTGCATGTGCCATAGTAAGGTATTGTTTAGACAACTCTACAGGAACAGATAGGCACAAGACTGAATTTTTTAAAAATCTACTGCAAACTACAACTTTCCTTGTCAATAATCTGTTTAAAATTCACAAATAAGCACAGAGCTAGTAAGAGAAACTTTATACGAAGGAATACTTGTCCCCTGCCAATTACTTTTATAATCATGTAGCACTATGGTTTTCAATGTGCTAAAATTTTATATGTATGTATAAGAGGGTGCCAAGACCATTCAATGGGGAAAGGATAGTCCTTTCAACAAACAGTGCTGGGAAAACAGGATATCCATAAGCAAAAGGACAAATTGGGACCCTTACCTAACACCATATACAAATATTAACTCAAAATGAATCAAAGAACTAAAACTATAAAACTCTTAGGAGAAAACATAGGAGAAGAGCATCAAGACATTGGATTTGGCAATGATTTCTTGGACATGACACCAAAAGCACAGGCAACAAAAGAAAAAATAGATAAAGTGGACTTCATTAAAATAAAAAATTTTTGTACATCAATGGACACTACCAACAGAGTGAAAAGCCAACCCACGGAACGGGAGAAAACATTTGTAAATCATGGATCTGATATGAGATTAATATCCAGAATATGTTAAGAATTCCTACAACTCAACAACCACAAAACAAACCAATTTTAAAAATGGGCAAAGAACTCGGATAGACATTTCTACAAGATACACAGTCAATAAGTACATGAAGAGACGCTCAACATCACTAATCATTAAAAAAATGCAAATGAAAACCACAATGAGATATCATTTCACTATTAGGATGACTATTATCAAAAAACAAAATACTAAACCTTGGTGAGGATGTAGAGAAATTGGAACCCTTATGCATTGCTGGTGAAAACGTAAACCGGTATAGCCACTATGGAAAACAGTATGGCACTTCCTCAAAAATCAAACATAGGGGCCAGCTTTGGGGCCGAGTAGTTAAGTTCAGGCGCTCGGCTGTGGCGGCCCAGGGTTCGGATCCTGGGCGCGGACATGGCACCATTCGCCAGGCCACGTTGAGGCGGTGTCCCACATCTCACAACTAGAAGGACCTGCAACTAAGATATACAGCTGTGTACAGGTGGGGTTTGGGGAGATAAAGCAGAGGAAAACAAAAAAAAAGATTGGCAACAGTTGTTAGCCCAGGTGCCGATCTTTAAAAAAAAAAAAATCAAACATAGAATTACCATATAATCCAGCAATTCCACTTCTGAGTATACACCCAAAAGAACTGAGAGCAGGGACTCGAACAGACGTGTGTATGCCAATGGTGAGAGCAGCATTATCCACAATAGCCAAAAGGTGGAAACAACTAAATGTCCATCTACATAGGAAAAAACAAAATGTGGTCCATCCATTCAACGGAATATCATTCAGCCTTAAAAGGGAATGAAATTCTGGCTCATGCTACAACATGGATCAAACTTGAAGACATTATGCTAAGCGAATAAGCCCGATGTAAAAAAAACAATTACAGCATGATTCCACTTATATCAAGTACCTAGAGTAGTCAAAATCTTAGAGACAAAGTAGAAAAGTGGCTACTGGGGGCTAGAGGAAGAGGGGGCGGGGAGCTATTGTTCAACGCACAGAGTTTCAGTTTGGAATGATGAAAAAGTTCTGGAGATGGATAATAATGATGGTTGTACAACTATGACAATGTACTTAATACTACTGAACTGTACGCTTAAAAATGGGTAAAAGGGTAAATTTCATGTCGTACATTTTACCACAATACAAAAACCTGCGTGTGTTACTTATTTTATTACGGCGGCAGTACAGGAATGTGCTTAAGAACACAAGGCTAAGAATTATGCTGCCTGGTTTCAAACCCAGCTCTGCCCCTTTATAGCTCTGTAGTCCGTGCCTGTTTTCTCAGACATTAACAGAACCTACTTTATAGGATTATGGCAAGGATTAAGTAAATACATGTAAAGCATTTGAAACTGTGCATGTCACATAGCAGTCACTTTTTATTATTACAGGTTTAAAACACATTTTTAATGAGACTTAGGTCAAACATCTGCAGAACCTCTGAAGGTCCTCCTCAAAATTCTAGAGCTCGGTAAAACAGACTGAAAACCAGTGATCTAATGCAAATTTCTCATTTTACAGGTAAAGGAATTGAGAGGCCAAGATAAGTGATTTGCCTGAGGTCACATCTCTTGTTTGGCTAATATTAATCGTCCTTAAATAAGAGTTTGGTTTAACAACACTAATGTTGACATTCAACTACTTCAAAACCAAGGCAAAGCCATGAGATTCTATAACGTATGTCCAAAATCTATGAATAGTGTGACAGTCATCCACCACGCTAATCTAATAAATAACTATGCATGGAGTCGGAACCAAAAGATAGCATTTTAAATGGCAAAAAAAAGCGCCATTTTTATTATCTTCACACAATGGTTAAAAACACCTCTTCTGAAAATAAAGTGCTAAAATACTTGTGAAAACAAATACTATTGATCAAGAGTTTGAGACACACCCAGTATGTGCACACTACCTCACTCCTTTCAGCCAGTTACTTACTATATAATCTTAGGGAGACCTCTGAAGCTGAAGAATCAGCTGCTTTTTCTACCAAACAGAGCTAATATTCATCAGAAGGAAAATCTACAAATAGTTCCTTATTAAATTCAAACAGAAGAGAGCAGCAGTCCAAATAACACAAAATGTCTAATCTAAAACTCATGTGTTAAGCTTTGTAGACATTTTCGTACTAACTTGAATAGACTAGATCTGGTTTCTGGGAAACTCATGGACACAAAAAGCAAAATAAGAGAGACAATCTTTGAAGGTCAGGCTCAAGAGCTAAAAAGCTCTGGAGCGTCTCTACTTTGCCCTTCCCCCACTGGTCTTCCTCCTCAACTCAGCTCTCAGAGGAGAGCACCACCTCGACTTGGAACGTCCTCCCCCTCCCCGTCCCCATCTCCACCCGCTGACATCCCACCCATCCTCACATGCCGCAGCTTCCATGAATTTCCCCCCAGCGCTCCCAATCTAGAATTCACCTCTCCCCTCCCGGCTCCCCTATTTCCACCTCTACTCCAACATTTTCTTATGTAATGCATTACATTACGATCACCTACCTCCACTTCTTCTACCCCCGCGCCCCCCCGCCCCCCCAGCCAAGGAAAATCCCCGGAGCAGCAGGCGCGGGAGCCGAGGAATGAACGCTGGTCCAACACCCCAGCGCCCCGCAGGGGGCCTGCAGCCATCATCTCCCGCAATCTGTGTGACAGCCATCCGCGAGGTAAGCAGGAGGTGGTCCCCCCACCTTACCGACAGAGCCCAGTGCTGAGTTCAACAGCTGGTCCCACGTCACCCAGCGAGCCGCCCCCAGGGCTCCGGACCGGGGCTCCCCGCGCCGCGCCGCCGGCAGGTAGCCCGGGAACACCTGCGGAAGGCGCCCTTCCCGCCGCCGCCCCCCTCCGCCCCTCCGGCCTCTTCAGGAGGCAGGCTGCCGATAGCAGCGACCTCGCCACCCGGTGGCCCGGCGAGGAGACCCCGACCTCTCCGCCCCGGCTCTCCCTGCAGAACAGGAGACAGGCGGCCGCCGTCACGCGTGCACCTTCCAGAAGGCTCCCGTTCCACACCGAGCCACGTCGGCGCGCTCGGGAGCACTGAGGGCGGGCGCGCTCCAGCTCCCACCACGCGGGCGCCCCCAGACCCCGTCGGGACGGGAAGCCCGCATCTCCCGACCGCCCCGAAACCGGCTCCCGCCGCGCCCGCCCCGGGAACGGCCGCTCGGGTTTCCGGCGGGAACGCGCCGACACGGACAAGCGCGGGGCTCCGAGGCCGCCGCAGCCGCCGCGCCCGAGCCCCACAGCGCCGCCGCCTCCCGGAGCCCTGCACGCGCTCGTCCGCCGCCCGTCCCGCTCCCGCGCCGCCCGGGGCGCAGCCGCGCCCTGCCCGCCGCCCCGCCGCATTGTCTCCCGCCGGCCCCCGCCCCGCCCGGCCGCCCGCCGCCGCCCGCGCGGGATGGCGGGGCCGCCGCCGGGAAAATGGAGGCGGGAGCGCGGCGGCGCCTCACCGCCCGCGCCCGCCGCCCCCTCCGGCGGCCCCGCGGGGAAGCTGAGCACTCACCGCGGCGGCGCCTCGTCCTCCGGCGGCCGCGGCCGGCGCACGGCCCGCGTTGGGCAGCCGCCGCCTCCGCCCCGGGCGCGGCGCTCCGCCCCGGGAGACGCCGAGCGCCCGCAGCCCGCGCCGCGCGCTCCGTGACTGCCCGCCCGCCTCGCTGACTGACTGACTGACTCACTCACTGACTGACGGCCCGAACGGCCAGCGGGCGGGGCGCCCGCAGCGCCCAGCGGCGGCGGCTCCGAGCGCGGCCGCGTCCGGCCGAGACGCAGAAGGCGGGGCTGAGGGCCGCGGCCACCGGGCCGCCCGACTCGCGCCGGCCGCTCGCTCCCCCGCCCGCCGCCCGCTCACTTCCGGCGCGGCCGCCGCCCCCCGTCCGCCCGCTCCCCGGTCCCAGCCGCACCCAGCCCGCCGCCCCGCGGCCCTCCTCCCCCGCGCCGGGGAGCGCCTCCCGGAACCAGTGAATCAGGGAATGAATGAGCGCGGAGGAAAATCCCCGCGCGCCCGCCGCCGCTCCCCCGGCCTGCAGCGGGCCCGGCCGGGCGGCGGGGCGGCGGAGGGCGGGCAGCGCGCGGGATGCTGCGACGACCCGGCCCCGGGGACCAGTGTGGTGGCAATCTGTGCGGCCTTCCTCTAGGAATTCCCATTTTGGCCAACCACCCTCTGCTCTTTCATGCACTGTATAGAGAAGCTTTAGAAATTGGACATTTCAATTCTAATTCTTAATTCGGAAATTTGCTTATCTTGCGTTAATTTCGTCACCCCCTTACCGAAATTGTTTAGGAGTAAGGTGTTTTGCCTTATCACCAAGTTGTAAATTGCTCAGATTTTACAATCGTGACACACTTTTAGATTTTAACGTATGACTTTACTTTGACCTTTTCGTAAGTTGATCAAAGGAAGGGAAAACATTGAATCAAATCATTTTTGTCTGGCTACATGCAAAGCAAGATTGTTGACAGCGTTAGAACCACTGACACATGGGAGTGTGACCCGGAATTCGTGGCCATGAACACTCCATTTTCGTGTCTTCCCATCTGCTTGCTAAGTAAGAGTCTCTGGATCTTGAATTTTCGCAGATAAAGAATTGACTGTACATTTTGGAGATCCTGGCTCCCTTTCTAAGAACCAGAGTGTTCGTTTGTCTGTCCTGGGGCCAAATCCTGGTTTGGTTAATTACGTTCCTTTTTTCAGATATTCTTGAGGACTTTGAAGTGGTTTCAGTCTTTTTTGCACAATCTGTTCCAAACTGGTACACAGTCTGTTGCAAACTGGTGTTTAGACCCATACAGTGCAATTACCAGCTGCATTTCACTCCTGAGACATCTGTACTTGAGAAACAACTGCACTTTTGTGTAAGTTTAGTAGGTGCTTTAATGCTCTGCTGTATCACAATGAATGTTCTCTCTTATAAGTGAAGATGGTGCTGCTGACCAGTTCCTGTTGACTTCCTTTCCTTTCTTGTGGAATTCGTCATTCATTACCTCTAATTGTAATTATTTTAGTTAAGTTATGATCTTCTCTACCAAATGCACTACAACACATTATTCATTCTTTCTGTGTGTGTGTGAGGACAGTTGGCCCTGAGCTAACATCTCTTGCCAGTCCTCCTCTTTTTGCTGGAGGAAGATTGTCGCTGAACTAACATCTGTGCCAATCTTCCTTTGTTTTATGTGGGAGGCTGCCACAGCATGGCTTGAGGAGCGGTGCTAGGTCCATGCCCTGAATCTGAACCTGCAAACCCCAGCCACCTAAGCAGAGTGTGCAAACTTAACCACTCAGCCACAGGGCCAGCCCTAGTTTATCCATTCTTATATCTTCCATTATATCTAGCATAGTACCTTGCACAATAAATGTTTTAAAATCAATAAGTGCTTTAAGCATTTTGATAAGTGATAATTCATACAAATCTCCCTATAGCCTCTTGCCCCATTTCTCCGTGACTAGGTTTGTTGAGATTAGACACACCTGAGTGCCATAACTCCTTATTGTCACCAAATGGTCTTACTAGGCTGTGTGGTCCTGTACAAGGAAGACACTCATTTCATCGAAAGCGCCTTTAAAAAAATAGACCATTGGGGGCTGGCCCAGTGGTGTTGCAGTTAAGTTCATGAGCTCTGCTGCTTTGGGCCGCCCAAGGCTCGTGGGTTCGGATCCCAGGTGCAGACCTACACACCGCTCATCAGGCCATGCTGTGGCAGCATCCCACATAAAGCAGAGGAAGACGGGCACAGATGTCAGCTCAGCAACAGTCTTCCTCACAAAAGAAAGAGAAAGAAAAGAAAAAAAAATGTACATGGTCTAACGGAGGCGAAGAAGTCACTCTTAGAACACGGAGTCCATTCCCAGGTCAGGAAAGCCTTCCACTGGAGGGATTCTTGCACTGCACGTTCAGCGACAGGGAGGAGCTAACCCTGGAGGAGGGGCGGGTTCTAGACAAAGGCAGGTGTGCAGGCACCAAACAGCACGATGCCTTGGAGACCCTGCAAGCTGTTCCATTTTGTCAGGACAAGCGCAGAGAAGGGTCAAGGAGGTGGGGTGAAAGTAGAAGTGCCTCCTGTGCTAAACTCAGGAGTTTAAACCTATTACTCTGGGGAATGTAATGAATAATCAAATCTTGGGAGTATGTAAAGCCCCAGGACAACTGAGTTTGTGTTCTGGAGACCAGGGAGACTGGCCTGGGGCAGGAGTAAATTAGGAGATGGTTGCAACAACCCTGGTGAGACATGCTGCAGGTCTTCATGAAAGCAGAGGCAGGCATTGGATGGGAGAAATGTTAAGGAGGTGGAATCTGCAGGATTCGGTGTATGCTTGGCTATGAGGGAGGTGGTGAGAGAGAGATGGCTAGGATGACCCTCAGGATTCAGATGTGGGACATGGACTGGGCCATGGTGACCTTCTCTGAGACAGAGACCCCAGAAGGAGAAGCTGGTTTTAGAGGACTGGCTGAATACCTGCATGAGAAAGAGTAATACCGTAAATCTAGGCATCTCAAAGGATCTTAGTCCATCATCCCCAAAGGGTGTTCTTTGGAACTCTAGTTCCGTAGGATTTTAGTCAGTGTGATTCCAAAAACAAAACTTTTAATCAAATTAAGTGAGAAATGCTAGGTTAAACAGTGTTCAATGGGTTTCTAAACTAGAAGGGTTTTCAGCAGTTTTAATATGTTAATATGAGCTGTGAATTTCTAAGAAGTAGATATTATGTACAGCATTTCCCAAATGTATTCGACGGTGAAATGCTTTTTCCAATGGAACGTCTCACAAGAGGTGTGTTCCACAGAACGCACTTTGGGAAATGCTGACCAAAGCCGGATTTTTGGTTTATAGTAGAGAAACTACAGCCCCGGGAGATGAAGTGACTTGCCTGAGGTTAAACACCTCTCACTGGAAGATACTGGACTCGAATCTGTATCTTCTGACTGCACTCACATGCTCTTTCCACTACATGATGCTTTGTGAGCTCAAACTCATTCTGGCACCTTCAGCCAATCATGGGGAGAAAAATATTATAAAATAGTTATGAGATATATCCTTTTAAGTGAGGTTTCAAATCAGTAATTTTTAAGGCTATGCTAATTTTTAATGATTACTATTTTTTATACGGTGAAAAGATTTGTACCTTGGAAAAGTGGGACCAGTTATTATCCTAGGATGATCCTTCTGATAACTGAGCAGGAACCTTGTAAAATTAAATCACCTAACTAAATAGGGCATCCATCCAGTTGCCACAACTTTCAGGAACTTTCAGAAAAACAAACTTTCAGGAATGAATAGAAACATAAAACTCTTCCCCAGAAATTTTAGTGTTGATTTTCCCCCCTTCATATTGAAGAAAGGATAGGTTTTAAAACGTTCTTGAGACTGTGAAAATCCACACCAGGTTTTGACTTCCTCTCTGGCACCATTCCACTGATTCTGGAGACTCTAATAGCTAATGGATGGGAAGGTTTTCATATCCTAAATTCACAGTCCTATTCCCCAGAGGAGAAGTTTTAGGACTTCCTATTCTTAGAAGAACGAGACAAATTGTTTGTTCCCAAGAGACTTCTTAGAACTCTGGGACAGCTTTCATTTTAAGAGTAGCTTCTCTACACATTACCTTTGAAACTAGTTATCATTGTCTTAATTTATGATTCAGTAATTCATAAAGCATTTTTTCATTTCTAAATGCTGTATTCATTTCTAGTAGGCAGACCAAAAACCATTACATGTAGTATAAATATGTCAGTGAATGAATAATTCTTTGCTTAAATAAATCAGTAGTCATAAGTAGTGGAAAGAACACTACTTATTAATCAATTTATCAAAACTGTTTCTTTAATATCTACTATGTCCCCAGCTCTGTCAAATCACTTTAAGCAGTAGTAGAGAAATACAAGAAATAGTCTCTGATTTTTAAAAATGACCCCACCCTTGGGACCTGGTGGCGCAGCAGTTAAGTGCACACATTCCACTTTGGTGGCCTGGGGTTCTCTGGTTCGGATCCAGGGTTTGGACATGGCACTGCTTGGCAAAAGCCATGCTGTAGTAGGCATCCCACATATAAAGTAGAGGAAGATGGGCACGGATGTTAGCTCAGGGCCAGTCTTCCTCAGCAAAAAAAAAAAAAAAAGGAGGATTGGCAGCAGTTTTCTCAGGGCTAATCTTCCTCAAAAAAAAAAAAAATGACCCCACCCATTGTTGGCAAGGCTGGAAAGAAATGCACGCTCATATTCTGCAGTGGGAACAAATTGTTACAACCTATTTCTGGAGGGCAGTTTAGTGATAGACATTAAAATATGCATCTCTTTGATGCGCAATTTCTCTTCTATGAATTTATTCCAAAGAGTAAGAATAAATAAAACATTAGCTAGGACATTGTGGGATGATGGCAAATAATTGGAAATCCCCTAAATATCCAGCAATGAGATTAAGAAAACAATGATTTATAAAAGAATAGTTTTTGATATGAAAAGATGTTCAGAATATGCTAATCAAAAAACTACAAACGTTATGTATAATATGAACTCATAAAAAAAGTATATAGGAAAAATCTAGAAGGAAATTTAACAAGAACACAAAATGTTTAT